GAAACGGCGACCGGGCTAGATAAGGTAACAGCAGCCGGGAACAGGTACGAAACCAGAGGAGAGAGCAAGAGAATCGGAGAGAAGGGGTAGAGAGGAGGTGGACGACACTGGACAACTGCTAGATCCTTATAAAGAAGAGGAACGGACCACTTAGATCTCGCCACGGCGAAACGCGACCGGATACTGAGAGATTTCTGTCCCCCTGCACACAGTGGTACATAATGACTTATTTTTTTCAAATCAGTCTACAAGTCGTAATTTTTGAGTAAATTTAAAGCTGTTTTTTTTTTCAACTCTAGGTAATGAAATTCCCTATCGATCTGTCCGGCTTAAATGTTCAATTTCGTTGCTCATTTCTTTGTATTTAACGGAACATACAGATTTTCAAGATCCGTGGGCATTTTAAAAAATTTCAGAAAGTGAGCTCATTTAGAAACGTAAAAATGCACTGTTTTGTCAAACAAAGTTGGGAAAATGGCGGAAGATCTCTGCTTTATCCCTATAAGTTTCGAACAGTCAATCGATAAATTCGTCCGTATACAGGATAAACGCGATAATCGAAGAAAAAAAAAACGAATTGGTTCGTTAAGAATCAACGGCGGCGTCTTGTCGAGCCGACCTTGTTCTACGTACTCTCGACGAACGCTCGAGATATGCTTCACAATCGAAACTACAAAAACATTGCGCAATTACGGCGACAAACATCGTACACGGTAACAAAACAGAGTTCCGCGATCGGGGTATTATTTGATTCTGAAAAGGCGCCTTCCGGAGAGCGAACACGCGTGTAAACGAACGTTTCAAATGTTGGGACCGGTCGGGTTATTTGAGAAGTAAATGGTTTGAACTTCAATGTTTGATTGTAACATCCGTGCTAACACTAGGTCCTCGTTATGGATTAATATACAGGGTGTCCCACTAGTTATAAATATAACCATGACTAAATATTGGCCACGACTGAGTAATCTGCGAAGTGAACAGTTGAACCGCAATGTCTGATAATAATTTCCGCGTGGTAACTGGTCTCAGTCTGGTTTAAGTACCATTATACAGAGCGTCCTATTTTTTATAATTATCTAAATTACACCATTGATATATTTCACAGTAAAACACTTAGACTTATCTGTAATTGCTCTTGGTACATCGGGAAATGATACCACTTGTCACGAGTGAAAACGAGTTGCTAACTGTCGTTAATGATCATCCAGCGAGCGGCGCCATTAAGTTATACGACAAATACTTGTAATACATTCGCGATATACTGTAAACAGGTAATTGATATAAAATATAAATAATATTTATAATTAGCGGTAACAATCCAAATACTAAATGTACAACGAATAAATTAAATCCACGCAGCTTAATGAATATTCAGTCGATTGCCAACGATGTTCAGGGAAGGTGTGGACTGGATCTAAATAAGCTTCGTTCGGCATTCAGCGCGTGATCGTCGAGCCGGTAGAGGGGGGAGATTGGTTGGTTTCGCGAAATGGAAAACGGAGAGACGACGGTCGTTCGAGCGAAAGTTCAGGTGTTCGCGAAATGGATCGGGGGCTGGAAACGGGGACAGGTACGATTCCAGAGCTTTTCTAATCGCGGTTAATCGGTTATACAACGGACTCTAATGGTCTTCGAAAATCAATACCCTAACTATTACCATATACTAGGTGATATACAGGGTGATTAAAAAAAACTAATGAAAATTGTAAACAACCTGCTCTACAATATGTGGATGTAATACACGAATCGCACCAATACTTTTGTCCCTCCCTATATCCTCGGTTACGAGCAGGGTTCGCGCGCACGAGCCAATCCTACGTTCGCCCCTCCTCCCACCCGCCGATCCGACTACGCGACTTTCGGGTCAAACGTATGGTTCGCGAGTCGCTCGACTCGTAACGTAAACGCGCCTGGTATGTGGGTGCAGTTAAACGGGTTATCGGGCGGTTCAGATATACAGCGCCAATCAGGACGACGACGGCGACGACGCGTTTCCCGCGGCCGACACGTCGAGGAATTCCAGTCGTTGGAAAATCCACGAAATACGTTTCGTCCTGTCACTCAGAGACCGGACACAGTGGGACAGAAACAATCTCTCACGGCGATTAGAAATGTGCAACTTTTAACAAGAAATTCAAAATGTTGTGACTTCTAAAAGATTTTCAATTTACAAAATCACGACTAAAGTTAACTTTTGTTCGCTCATCTGTAAGTTTTAACGGATTTTCAATATAACAATATCGCGACAGAATCGACATTCAATCGTCGTGAGTCCGATTTAGTCTGCACTACGTCGCCGTCGGAAATGTTAATGACGTACAGCGAGAAGGACCCGGTTGCAGCGACGTCGGGAACCGGCCCGCGGAAATTTTACCGCGAGCGCCGGTATTATCATTCATCGCGGTGTGCCTGTTTACATATTCGCTCGGCGACGAGCGCGTAATTCACGCGGGCCTCGCGCTTTGCGTTCGCGCCGACAAATAACGCCGCCGTGCGCGCCCGGGCGCGCGCGAGCACTGTGACCCGCCCGCGACTTTACACGATTTTAACGACCGTCGTCGGGGACGCGTACCTGTATTCCCGTTAATTGCCTGACCCGGGCCAGCGGATACTCGTGGTACACTTTATTCCGGGTAAATACACGAATGAAAAAACGAGGGACGACATGGCATGTTCCTTGGGAATGGAGTGAACGTGACTAAATAGAAGTGGATACCCTATTTCTTTTTGACTCTCAAAGTTTAGACCGTCAAAGTCCAGCGTCTGGGTCAATCGTGACCCGTAACATTATCTCACAGATATTTGTATGCATATTAGTAAATACATAACCTATTTTTCTTTATTTTCAGTGTTTAGATTGTCGAGGTCCAGCGTCTGGGTCAATCGTGACCCATAACACAACCTCACAAATATGTGTATGTGTATAAGCTGATGTTTACTTGGTCCATTGCAGAAATGGTTCGGTAATTGTGTTTATTGACGGAGTCCGTCAGTGAGGCAAGCCAATAGGGATGGCAAAAAAATGGCGGATAGTATTGAAGGTGAATAGAATAATTGTTGGAGCAAGAAAACTTCAGTAAAGTCTAACGAGATGTTTTACTGTATTTAGAATCGGATGACAGTCCGGTAATAGAATTCTGATTGAATCTAGTTTCTTGTAAATCAATCCGTAAATGTTCATATTTGCATAAACAATTTGCAGTCCACCGTGCGATAGATCGGTGGAACCTGTTCCCGCCTAAAATTCAATTCACTCGTCACGTACACCCGACCGATTTTTCAGTGGGTAACCCCATAATTTTGTGTAACCCTTTATCACCAGTTTATTTCGGCGTTCCACCATTAAATTGATTACTAGATAGTTGAATTCGATATCTCATTCGCCTGGTAACACGATCGTTATTAAAGGTAAGTATTACGCTACGTAATCTAGAAGCAACTGTAATTAATCCCCGGCTATGTAACCGCATTTCCTCTCGAAACATTTTTGCTTAAATTGTTCAGCGTCGGACGAGCGTGTTTTGTGAGAATAAATCACACGACGCACGGAGCAGGACTGTGTTTAAACGCTGATAATTCCGTTGGTAGCTCGGTTTACGTTGCAGCGCAGTATGGTAGAGGTGTTATAACTGAATCGTGTACACTGTACACCGACGCGAAGCTTTGTCGTCGACGATCCAAGTTTAATAGATATTTAAGTGTAGACGAGCAAAAATATAATTTAAATAAAGATTGGAACAGTCCTTTATAGAAATTGAAAAACTAAAATTACCATTTGAATGAAGAATTTTGTATCTAGATAAAAAAATTTTGTTTATAAAATTTTAGAATTAGAATTTCAGTGTAGATAAAAATATTTGATCTAAATAAAGTACTGTGAATAACGAACGAATATAACGAAAAGAAAAATGTAAATTATACGGTTGAAAACTTCAGTACATTCTCGAAGGATTGTGCCGACGGTTACTTTACGTAGAAACGCAACGACAATACACATCTATTAGCTCGTTCTAACATCTGGGTCAGCACGAGGTGTTTAAGAACCGGTACGTTACTTCCTGCCTTGTCGCGACATCCATGAACGATTGTGTATTTTTCTTCGACCGTTTCGCAACACTTGCATACGTTAATTCTTTTGAAAAAATCATTTCACTTAATCTACACGCACGATTACTCTAAAAGGAATCGAAATACTCTACTTTTTACAACTAGCATCTATTACAGATGCCTATTCGTTGACCTATGCTTGCACCATAACACTACAATACGTTTACCTTCTACAAAGGTTGTACAAACAATATAAATTTTCAAATTTAAAGCCTCTGATAAATGTAGACGATAAACTATTTGTCGTAGAGATAATTACGTTCTCTAAACAAAGTCCGAAATTACGGTTAACCACTTATAATGTAAAGAAAATCAAACTAACCTCACATTTGGTCGTCGTGTCGCGACGGTACTATTCGCCTTCCGACAGTTAATAATGTCCACAAAAGATTCAGCCAAAGGTACAAATAAAACACCACCACTTTATTCGTAAACTACTAACGCGGCATTTGAGACACAATTTGGACCGTTTGCCCGTGTTTCTTTCGCGTTTCATCTCACGAGACATGCTCTCCGTTCACCGGGCAGCAGAGAAGCGTGGCCGGAATGCATCCGCGTCACGCGACACCGATTCAAACCGGACAATCGGCCGTTCGATTCCCGCCTTTTTCGCGACCGTGCTCTCGTTACGTAAAAGCGGCACTCTCGGCACGGTTCCCCCCCGGTATTTTCGAGCGTTCTCTAACCTTTAAAGGAAAAGAAACTGCACGGATTCTGACGAAATCGCGACGGGAAGTTGGGACCACGGGTGACGGGAACGCACGGGCGATCGTCAACGATGAATCTCGAGCGTCGCCATGCACGCGCGTCCCCCGTCGGGATCCAACGTTCGTTCGGCGTGTTAACGAAAAACACAACATAGAAATGAAGGTGAGAGAACAATGGCGACTTACCGGCTGCACGATGAGGCCTCCTCGCCCAGTCGTCCTCGATCAAGGGCGCGACCCTTCGGGCGCGTGAAGTCGACGGGTAAGAAACAACGACGAGTAGAATCGACAAGAGGAAGGCACCGTAGTAACGCATCTCGGCAGCTTTCGGTCTATCGTGGTCCTCTTTCTCTCTCACTTACACCCGCGTATCTCCTATTTCACTTTCTCGTCCCTGGGCACGGTGCTTCGACAACGCATATAGCGTGGTCTCTCGTCCTCTCTGTTCCACCGTTCTGTTTTTCTCGCTCTTATTTTCTATTTGTATCTCTTTTTCTCTCTCCCGATACCCCCACTGCCTGTCTCTCTCTCTCACAGTCGCGCACTAGTCTTCTTCGGAGCGTTCTGTCTCTGTCGTCGGAGCCGCGGCACTGGTCTATTAACGACCGTTCACTGCACGAAACTTTCTGCACTGTACGCCACTGTAAGGTACCTCGCACCACCTTCAATCTCCTCTTGCCAGCCTAACGCGACACATTGAAAGTAAAAAATAAAAAAAAAAGTAAAAGGGAAATACGGTTATTGTTCCGAGTCGACGACGATGACCACGAAGTCGACGACGACGACAACCACGACGACAACCACGACGTCGAGCACGACGATACGCTCGCAGGTCGCGAACGTGTACGATAATGATTAGAAACAATCAGCCGTGCGAGAAAGAGAGAGAGAGATAGAGATGCCCGTGCCAGCCGCAATATTTACTGCAGATAACGTGCGCGCGAGCTTGTATATACTCGTGCACCGTTCAAGAGAGACACGTTCAACGAGTGCATCCGACGGCTTAATAGGCTAAGGTGTACACACGCAGGATCGTTATTCTTTCGTACGCCGTCTCTCTCTTGGGGTCCCGCGGATCCGTCTATGCACGTTCCCTTCTCTCTTCTTTCACCGCTCTCGATATCTCTTTTGTTTTTTTCGCTATCCTTCCTTCTCTTTTTTACCCGGAGAGTGCCGCACACAGTTCGTACACGGACTGCTGCTTGCTTGCTTGTCCTCTCCTCTGGTCTCTCTCCCGCGTTCTTCTTTCCACCGTGCTGGTTCGTCGCGCGTTCTGTGTTACTGCGCGCGGCGGCGTTTTATAAGGCGGTACGCAACGGAGCGGCGACGACGGCAACGAGTTTCGAACGCGCGACCAGAGGGACGGGACACGAAAGACCGCGGTGGTGTGTGGCTCTCTGTCGTTTCTCTCTATCTCTCTCTCTGCGTCTTCTTCCCTCTGTTACCGTTTTTAACTAACCGTCCTCCACGCGCCACCTCGCCCCCTCCCCTTTACCTTAGATCGCGCGTACGCGTCGTCGTCCCGTGTCCGTATCTCTCGACGCCCGCCGCCGGTATAACTTCCGAGAGACTCGCGCGCGCGCGCGCGGATTACTACACACCACACCGCCGATGATTCTCCACGGAGCTCTCGAATCCGTACGTACCGGCTAGGAATGATCTCACAGACAGGGTAGAGGGAGGGTGGGGAAGTAAGGTGGGTGAGGGGAGGGGGAGGTGTCAGGATCGATCGTCCAAACACCGACCAGATTAGCCCCGCGATGAAGATCGAGAGAGCTGCTGGGGTCCGGTGTGCTCGTCGCCGGATCGTATCGAATGATCATCGACGATACCGAATCCCGTGATACGTGAAACGTCCGTCCATCGCGCCTGCGCGAGTGGCTCTCTCTCGCGATTTTCCGCGCGCCGCCGGTATATCCACACAGCGGGGTATATTATAATACTCCTCCAATTTTCTACTCGCTCGACCGACGTCTCCCCTGCCGCGAATTTTCAATTAGAAACACCCTGTTTTCCAACCACTGGGCTCGTCTGTTTTCTTTTCACCCGTTTTACCACCGACCGTTCCTAAGCGGCCCTCTATCCACGCGGTAACCGCGCAACAACAACAGGTCGAGTGTGCGCGTCTCTGACACGGTCGGCCGCGTGACTGCCGTGACTGCCGTGACTGACTAGCCGTGAGTGAGTGACTACTGACTGGTGGGACGCTGTGTTATACTCGACCAGTCGCTCTCTACCGCCCGTGCCGCCACTGAATCCGATGTATCTGATCATCGGCACCACCGTCCTCCTCCGGCTGGCTGGCTCGCTCGAAAAAGCTTCTTGGGTGCTTTGGCGCTTGCGCCACACAACGATTCGCTTTTTCGCTCTCCCTCCCTCTCTCTCTCTCTCTCTCTCTCTACGTACGTACGTACACGCGCGTTCGCCCCACCGGTACGCGTGTTATAACAGCAGCAGCAGCCGATGCGCTCGCCGTTCCCTCGCTCGCTCCCCCTCCCCCCTCCACTCAGTCACTGTGTGTAACGTTCTCGCTATTTTACACACACATACACACGCACACACGAAAGACGAGACAGGACCACGTCTTCGGCCGCGGAAGCGTCGTTCTGTCTGGCGCTTGCACTCGCCGTGTATCATCCGGCCTCTCCTCTTCTCTTATAATAGTTTTCAACCACGTGCCGTGTTACCAAGGGAAGGGGTCTGCCCTCGCGAGGTAAAATCGAAATCGTATTGTAGGCGTGAGAGATTTCGTTGCACGATCGCACCGTTATAATCGATGGTGTTTATCTACCAACCAAACAGATCCATCTTATCGTTCCTTCCGTTTTCTCTCTTCTCTCAGTTTCGCGAAATCGCTTCGGTTCTACCCCCAAGACACGCGGCACAGGTCTCGGAACAGTACAGGCAAGAGAAATCCACCTCCGTTCAGGCACCACGACGCCTCTCCTATTATTCACTGGCGGTTGATCGCGGTGTCGTCGCGATCGTGTGTCATTTCATGGTTCCACCGTCCGTGTAACAACGGCTGAACACGTTCGACTGGGATTATATGTAGGTAGAGGACGGTTCGCAAGCACGGAGGGGGGGGGGCGATCGGGATGCTTCGCGAAATTCTGTGTGCACGACTCGGATGACCCCCACGAGGAGAGAGAGACACGTTGCGCCGATGTAGCCAACGATGACAACTGTCCGCAGGCCGGTCGAGTCCGTCGCTTTTATGGGGATAGCCGAGCACGCTGCTGCACCGGGACCCGTGCCTCGTATATCCCCCGAGTGTGTGCGTACCGAGTTTACGTGCTCGATGTACCGCGTTATCGTGCAAGTGCGCGTTCTATCTCTCTTTCTCTCTCTCAGTGGTGGACTTTATATATATATGTGTGTGTATGTATGTATGCATGACCGAATAGGATCGTTTCTCGATAATCTTCTCCTGGGCGACGCGACGCGGGCCAGATGCATGTATCTAAACCCCAGAGCAAGAGTGTACAAAGTCCGGTTTTTAAAAAAAATGACATTTTACATGTTTCCCGTATGAAATCTGTCACTCTTTTCGATGGTACAGATTATTTCGTGATACACTAAATCGTGTAGTTTTTAATATAATAGTTTAAAAGTGACATTATGTCCGTATCTTGTTCCGAGCAAAACAGTGTAAATTCTAACAGATAAGGGACTTAATGGAATGTACGCCATTTCTACTATATCGAGACTTGTCTTAGGTCCATTCAATAATTCAAAGGTAGTGATTGTTTCTCGTTGAATTCTTACCGGTAATCGTTCCAGAATTACAAGGTTTTTCTGCACCTTTGATTTGCTCTTCTCTAAAATTTGGATAGTGTGACTTAATACACTCTGGTTCTGGTGTCCAGATATAGGATATACGCGAAGGAAAGACAAGCAAAGCGAAACAAGGGTCCACCGAAGGGGAACTCGTGTCGTCCGGTGTGTGATACCTCGATCGCGGTGGGTGTCGCGAATGACTGTGCCTCTGTCCAAGAGGTGTGCGACAGCGCGCCGCGCGTGTGGGTGCTCCCCCCTCCCTTCCCCTCCCCCCACCACTACACAGACGGTCACCACCACTACCACGATTCCCACCACCGGCGTGTATACCGGCTGCCGGCACACCACTACCACCACACGTCATCTTGTGCACCACTGAACAGCGAAATACACCGGTATCGAAGAGTGGCAGGCATGAAACGTAACTTCTTGTTAGCTCTTCGTCTCGTTTCACCCACACTCTCCCCGCGGTTTGTTATTTATTTATTGGGTTCCACGATGCGAAACAGCCGGTCACATTGGTCGAAAGAAAAATCGCTGTTTATTAACCCTCTTAGTATCTTATCCTTTTTCTGTGTATCATCTAGATATACCTTGGGAAATATGCATTCTTGAAGATACTTATTAAAATTCACACATATTTTTCTAAAAATAGAGATAATTTTACACTTTTCTTTTGAATTTTATAGTGAAGTCTATTTTGTATTATATAATAAATATTACAAGTATTATATATTCGTCACTTTCTGTAGGAGAATTTATTATTTATATTTCGTCTTGTGGGTACTGAAAGGGTTCATGAAACAAATTCAGTTTCACTCGATCGAAATGTGTTTTTATTTTCAAATACAAAAATCGTTTGTTTCTCTTTGAGGTTGCTCAAAGACCATGAGTGATTTCAGCTTCACTCGAAATTTTCATAGACAATTCAAGGTGTACCCTGATTCAATGTCAAACCAGTCCATTTCATACCATTCTGTCCTCTAATTGGGCAATTTCAAAGGAAAGACATACACACAGACCAAACCGTAGCCTGGCTTTAGGTCCAGATGAAAGTTAAGGTCAGACGTAATTGATGTCCATGGGTCTTACGGGCGAGACCTTTAAGGCGAATTCGGAAGGCCGCGACGCCGTTTGAGCTACGTACCATCGACACGCGAATATATAGATTACACGCGATAACTGCGAACCCGTACGTTACGTATGCAAGTCGCGTGCAACCGCCGTCGTCGTCGCCGATTTGCATCGTACGCGCGTCGAACGTATTTAACGTCCACGTCATTTCGACGCGTGTCGCGAAACAACAAGCCGAATGAGAACCCGGCCGCAAGGGAATCGTGCGGCTCCATTCACGCTGGTGTCCCCGAGGCTCATTGATGTGTATTCCCATGGAAGCATTTATCGGTCGTTGCGCGAGTTCGTATATCTGGGAATTCTGTTGAAATACCGAAAAACAGTTGAAACACGACCTTATTTGGATATCCTATAATGACTAACCTTTAGGCTCCTACGGCTGGGTCACTGGATTCCACGGGC